TGACAGGCCTCGAGCTGTAGTGTTTTCCAGCTACTTTTGATATAATTGGTCACTTCCTCTCAGGCCCTAGTGATGTTTATGATGGCCTTTCTGAGGCCACATGGCTTTCAACAATCCTTAATCTTTACCAGCTGTCTTTGCAACTTGTTCCTAAAAAGAACTCACCTCTTTGGAGGGTTGTAAAACTTGCATGTTTGGTGAAGCATGATACTATTCTTTGGCACTTCACTGGGCCTGTAACATATTATGCTTCTCCTCTTTTTTATTGCTGGGCATTAACAGTAATACCTACTCCGTCATACTGGCTGATCTATAGGACTTTCAATACTGTAAATTGAACCCAGGGAGCACTGGTCTATTACCAGGCCTTTATCCAGCCTAGGCTGGATTCAAACTTATGATCCTCTTGCCTCAGCCTCCTACGTAGCTGGGATTATAGGCATGTGCCCCCATATCGAGAAAAATATATATTAACTCTTCTTTTAATATGGTCCTAGGCATATATTGCCATGTGTGTATTTGATATTTTGAACTAGTTAAGACTAATTTACAAACAACAGAAACACAATTCAAATGAACCTAAATCAGTAAAAGGGAATGTATTAATTTATTCATTGGCACAACTTTCCCTCACAGTGTGCCTTTAACCCTGTAATCATTAATTTATTTGTTGATGGAGTCTTTGAATACACATATATATGTAATCATGTGCTACTGTATATACAACAGTGGTTGTATCACCTAGTGACATTATAGCTCTCTTAGTTTATATAAGGACACTGAATATAAGGTTCACACAATACTACGTTACGCATTGATGCATTTCTCAGAATATATCCTTATCAGTAAGTGGCACATTACTGTGTATATATTTGCTAAAATACCAAGCTCTTTTATCCCAAGTCTGCAAAAGACAAATTTGAAGTTAAGGATGTTGCCTTTTGCTGCAAAAAGGAATTTATTAGAGAATTATTCTGCAGTTTAAATACTGATTTAATTTATAGGTTCTAAGTGCATAATTGCAATTATGTTATGAGTAAATTTGTCCATAAGATGAAATAAACTTGTTTTTATAATTTTCACCCTTTTAACTTTCTTTAGACAGTTGTTTGATCAAACCTCTGGAATAGGAGGTATCAAAGTCATATTTAGAACCAACATGTAGCATGGGAAATATTATGTAGCCATCTTTAGAAAGTACACACTCTCAAAAAGTATTCCAATTTATCTAGTAAATTTTAAATTCTTTTCAGTAAGCTTTCTGTAGGAGATAAAAGTGTATCACAGATATTTTAAAATTCCACAAAAATTGTTAGAATGGTGGTACCTTATAGCCCACCCATCCAGTTTGCAAAAGATATCCCAAAATATTCTTTGGATATATTTTCTAAACAATTTTTTTTTACAAATTAAAATATGTTGGCAAACTGTATTTTTCAGATTACAAAAAAGAATAAAATCTATTAGAAATGTAATTTATCCCCTTGTAAGGTCATTAGGGACTTTTTGCTAAGAACTAGATATATTCATCTTATATTTCACGTTGTCCAGTGTTTACTTAAAAAGCTCAAGGAAGATGCATGCAGATTTAAGCCTGAATCTTGCTTTAGCAGGGAACATAAAATTACAACTGAAGATAGCAAGAAAAAAAATTGTTGGAAAGAACTGAGCATCACAAATATATATTTTATAAGTGGTTTTGGCCCCTTCTCCATTCTGAAAAATACTATAAAATGGTTGATTTGAAACATGGCATTTGGAAAAAGAATTGCAACTTTGTAACATAATGGAATACACATTCTGACATAAAACTGGATACATTTGCATATTTCAAATAGCTTCTATTATGTTTATGTCTCCATGTACCCCCAAAGCCTCATGCAATCATAGGTGGGGTTTTTCAGAGGTGGCTGAATCTAAAGTGTGAGATGCTGGGATTAACAGTTGGTGGTTACTAAATCAGTCCACTGATTGGTTTGGCCCCACCCTAAATCTCATAGCCAGGATAGCATTTAAGAGGCAGAAAAAAAAAAAACCTGCTAAGGTCCCTTGCTTGCTTTAGCACCTTCTGTGCACCATGAAATGTTTCTCTTCTATGATGCCTGTCTGCCATGCCACCCTGCCTTGAAGCCAGATGATTACGGACCAAAACCTCTACAAACTGTGAGCTAAATAAACCTTTCCTCCTTTAACTTTGGGTGTCAGGTATTTTGTCGCAGCAATGAAAGAAAAATAACTAAGACAGACTTTGGTACCAGAGAGGTGAGGTCATTGGTGTAACTACACTTGACCGTGTGGTTCTGGAGCTTTTGGAAATGACTTATGGCAAGAGTTTGGAAAGGTTCAAAGATGCCAGCTGGAAAAAGTAGAACTGGAATGCCTTAGGCAGTTCTTGATGGGAGATTCTGGTCAGAGCTCAAAAGACCAGAAGACTGATAGAATTCCTGCCAGTAAAGAACAGGATTGGGAGGTTTCTGCTGAACAGGACTGCATTGGCTATTGGACTCCAGACGATGTGTTATACCTTGGCAGAAAGTTTGTCTGCATTTTTCTCATGTCCAGAGACTTTGCCTGAGACTAAGATTAAAGGCAGCAGACTAACTAACTAAACTGCAGGAGAAATTTTAAGGCAGTCTAATATTGAGGTAATGGTATGGCTACTGTTGGGATCTTTTAGCTAGATTTATATTGAGAATCAAGATCAAAGAACCAAGTTGAATGATTCAAAATATTTTGAGTTTGGCCAGAAAGAAAGATCCAGTAAAGTTGTGGCCTGCAAAGATGGAAGAGAAGAAAAATTGGTTGCTTAAAACACAAGCAAGTAAAAGCCAAGTATTTCAGAAGAAGACAGCAGAAAAGATGGCCTGAGGACATCACAAGAACCAACAGGACACCAGCCTGTGCAGCCTTAGAGTTACAAAAGTAAAAGATTTTGTTTTAAGAAGAGAGCCCCAGAGCACTGTGTTCCAGAAAGTCAGTGGCCTAGAAAATTTGTTCCTTGAGATTGGGTTCAGAGTGTTTAGCAGTCTAGGCACTGGATCCCTGATCCCTATAACCAAAAAAGTTGGAACCCTGGCTATTGCTCCAGCTGGCGGCAGACTTTGGCATCATCCATATGGTGCTGGTCTTAGGTGCATGCAGAATGCAAGAGTTGTGGGGTGAGGAAGGCTTCCACCCAGATTTTAGAAAAAGATATGAGGGGCCAGGCAGGGTGCCCCTAAAAGGGCGGTGTGTGAAGCTGTGAGTGTGATGCAGAAAGTGCAGTGGAGACCGCAGAAGGTTGGAGAAGCCAGAAACGTGGAACATTTGAGGAAAACTGCAAGGAGGGAGCAGAGCTGGCCCAAGAGAGAAGCCATGGAGCTACCACCACCAGAAGTGACATAGGATCAGAGCCACCCAAGTCCCTTGGAGTTCACATCTTGTCACAGATTGCCTCGGATGCTGCCCGTGGAACTACAGGACATAATGTTTGCCCTGCTGGATTTTGGCTCACTTTCATCATCCCATTCCTTTATGTCCTTTTGGAATGATAATGTTTATCTTGTGCCATTGTATTTTAGAAGTGTTTAACTTTCTTTTCCTTTGTACCGGGGCTCACAGATTAGAGTTTGCCTTAAATCTCAGAGGAGACGTGGAACTTGGTCTTTTTAGCAATGTGGAAACTGTTAGGACATAGGCAACTCTTAAAGATGAACTAGCTACCTTTTGCGTAAAGGAATGTACATGAGTCTTTGCAGGTAAAATGTTACTAGGTCCCCCCCAAAAAAGCCTCATGCAGTCATAGGTAGGGCTCTTTCACAGATGGCTGAATCTACAGTGCACTATTCTGGGATTAACTGTGGTGGATTACTACCTCGGTCCATTGATTGGTTTGGCCCCGCCCTCAGCCTGGTAGCCTAGATAGAGTGTGAAAGAATCAGAAAGAAGCTGCTAAGGCCTCTTGCTTGCTTTACCACCTTCTGCCCACAATGAACTTTTGTCTTCTGCCATGCTACCCTGCCTTGGAGACAGTCAATTATGGACGGAAACCTCTACAAACTGTGAGCTAAATAAGCCTTTCCCCCTTTAACTTTGGTTGTTGAGTATTTTATCTCAGCAACAAGAGAAAAGTAACTAAGATTGTGTTAAAGTTTTTATTGGATTTTTTTGTCAAAAATTTGATTTATATTTCATTCAATTCTGATTTCCAAATAATTCTTTTTCTGTCTCAGCAGACTCAGAGTAGTAATTGAGAGTCTGGGCTTTGGAGTCACACAGATCTGTGTGACTTCAAAGGAGAAATGTGTCTGTGATTGTTCGAATTTGAACAAGAAACCGCTCCTGTTTTGAGAAGCTGTGTTGCATTTTGAAATCCGTAGAGTACAAAAGAAAGATCACTGAGTCAGGGGGCAGGAGATTTATTTTTAGTTTGAATCTATTCATTTTTACTGTCTACACTTCAGTTTCCTTATTCTTAAATTAATAAAGTGGAAATAAGGGTATAATTCCAAACACAAGATTATTGTCTCAAATTATATGCTTGAAAGCACATGGTACACTTTCTCAGTGGGAGGTATCACTATTAATTTTGCTAACATTAGAAATGTTACTAATTGTAACAGTGGACATATTTAGCACACATGCAATGATGTAGAAAAAATGTTATTCCAGGGGTGATAAGAAAATTCTCCTAGGGAAACTGTCACATATGTTGGGAAGGAAAACCTTGAGGATTCCTTTGAGGGATGCCTGGCTCTGGGTACAGTGGAAATGCATACAAGCCTGATGGTGGATGGGCAGTCAGAGCTGCCCCTTGAGTGTTTCAGGATGAAGGTTTTGGGGAAAGCGACAGGAACAACGTTTAAAGGTGCATGAGGGAATACTGGGGACTGGGAGCCATGTTCTATGAAACACACTCTGCATCCCCATGACATAAGCATGAGAGGATGCACTGGCCTGTTTCCTTTCTTTCTTCATCAGTTATTTTATGTCGCTTGCTGCATTTTCTCTCCACACTGCAGGACGTCAGGAAGCCATAGCAGTGTGCTTACACACCCAAACCCAGCAGACGGTCAACGACAGCTTGTGCGACGCAATGCACCGGCCTCCGGCAATGAGCCAGGCCTGTAACACGGATCCCTGCCCTCCCAGGTATGTGGGTCTTGTGCTCCAGGATAACCACACTTCCTTGCAGAAAAATCCTCCTGTGCACAAAGAAATGCAGGCTCAGCCAGGGTGGATCATCAAGGTTGCTTTAGTGCTGCCTCCTCTGGTCAGTCAAGCTCCAGCCGATCCTGCCAGAGTTGTTCACATGCAGCCTCTATGAGCTACAGTCCTCTCAGCCTGACTTTTGATTGCATCAAATCTTAAATGAACATAAGCTGGCCTGCTGCTAAATATCTACAAGGTCAGTGGATCTGCTTTCTTTTGTACCTAGTTTCTTCCTCTAATGACCCATCAGAGAGTCCAGGATCTCATGTTGAGTTAGTATTGGTCTACAGTAAGTGCTTAATCCATATTTATTGAATGGTTGAGTGATCACCTATTTGTTACCTAAGTCATAGTTCCTGTTGACTTGTCCTGGATCTCTCATTGTGAGGTGTCGTGCTGAAGACCCCAAACAACAGAAGTAACTTCTTTTTGGTCTCATTAGTCTAAAAAGATTGACCTTAAAGGTTTAACTTCATTGGTGCCTCAGTTCTTATAAGATCCTGAGGAATTTTATCAGAAAGGAGGTAAAATTTCCCCATGTTGCCCCGAGCCTGGGTCTTGTTGGCTTTAACAGTTGTAAGTTACCATCACTAGCTTGACACACAAGAACTCTTCAGATGTAGCCCCCATCTTTTTCCTCCTGTCCTCTTTACTTTGATTACCTGGCCACTCTTCTGTTCTAAAACTTAGTTACCAAAAGATTCTGAGCCTGTTCCATGCCTTCCTCTCTCTTCCTGGAATCTCTTCCCTGCCTCTTAGTAAATACACAGCCCCTGCAGCCAGGGACTTCCCTTTGCTGAAAGTGAGTTTTCCCATGTCTGGGACTCTGGGGCATTGTGGAAGGTTGCTGTATCCACACTGATCACACCAAAGTCTCATTGGAAAGGGCTGAAATCAAAGGGCTTTTAGGTGAGCTTGTCCTAAGTCTTGTCAAGTATGTCCAGGGCTTCCTGAGCACAGTGAGCACCATCAGCTCTTCCCTGGATTCAGCATCCACGGACGCATACCAATTGTGAATCAAAAATATCCTAGAAATGAGCTGCAGACACAGCTCAGTATAGAGTATGTGCATATGTAAGCCCTTGGTCCTGTCCCCAGTACTGCAAACATACAACAACAAAGAATTTGTGTTTGTGCTGAAGACGTACTGACATTTTTTCTTGTCATTATTCCCTAAGCAGTACAACAGTTTACATAGTAGTTACACTGTATCAAGTACTGTAGTAATCTAGAGATGATGTAAAGTATACTATTAGGGAGGATCACAAGTTTAAATCTTCCTGGGCAACTCAATGAAACTGTCTCAATTTTTTAAAAAATTAAAATATAAAAGGCTGAGGATATAGCTTAGTGATAGAGTACCCCTGAGATCAATCCCCAGTTCCATGGATGGACGGAAGGAAGGACAAAAAAGGAAAGGATGAAAGTACAAAAAGGTGGGGTAAGCTGTTGCAAGACAAACCATTTTATTTCAGGTAATTGAGCATTCATGGGTTTGGGTGTCTGCAAGGGACAGGGGGCATCTTGGCCTTTCCGAGGATGACTGAAATATGACAGCAGTGTTGAGCACCTGTCTTCTTGAAACAAACTTTCATATCTAGAAAAATGACACATATGCTAAATATAGAAACCTCAGGATTCTAAATTATGTATTTAGGTTTTTTTCCGGGCTTCTTTTCTCATTCTAATATTGGAACCACTGACTGGGGTATTTGGGAAGAGCCTGGGTTTCCACTTTCTTCCCGCTGTGATGGAAGCGAGTGACAACCTGTGTGCCCTGGTTGGTAAGTGGCTGGCCAGCTCTGGTCCCTGTGGGTGATGGGCCTGGTGGGAGCACTGAGGCCATTGGGTCATTGCCCTGGGAAGGGACCAAGGTGGCATTTTGTGACACCCCCATGTCTGTGGGGGATGCTATAGAGCCTGAGCCTGGCCCCGCTCTGTAGCCACTGCTTCTGCCTGAGCCCTGGAAGTGCCACTGCCCTCTGCTATGACAGGACCCACACCCTTGGGCCTCCAGAACTAGGAACTAACAGACCTCTTTACTTTGTAAAGTTAGCCAACGTCAGGCATGCTGTCATAGTGACAAAAAATTGACGATGACACGGTCTAGAGTAAGGAGCAAGGGGAGATACAGGGAGTGAAACACAGCTTCACTTCTCAACATATTTTCTTAGGAAACTGGGATCACGAACTGCATTATCTTGTAAACCTTTTCTTTCAAGTTAGATGGGATGTGGCAGGAAATATATATTAAATAATTTCATAAATAAGTGTACAATAAATGCTATAAGGAAAATTAAATCAGCACCTCAAGGGCCAGAATAATACAAGAACCTAAAATAGATTATTGGATGGAATGGGATTAGCGCAGTAGGTCAGAGAAAGCCTCCCTGGGGAGATGTGTAAGTTGAGACCTCAAAGACAAATAGGAATTGGCTGTAAGTTAGAGGAAAGAGTGTTCTGCGCAGAAGGACCTGTGTGTGCAAAGGCCCTCAGGGAAGGAGGAGATCAGTGTGTTCAAGGACAAGGATGGAAAGCTGAGCAGAGTGTTTCTGAGATGAGACGCAGGCAAGGTGAGGGTGAGCCTCTGCAGCTCACCCTGGGGCTCAGTGGGAAGCCATTGGAGGGTTTCTGCAATGAGATGAAAAATCATATTTACTTTCTACAAAGATTACCCAGAGCCTGAAATGAGAACAACAAGGGTACATATGACAAGAGCAATTATATTTTTTAAAAATTACTTTAGGTACCAGCCCATCACAACTCCATCAGTGTCCCCCGATTAAAGCCTGCCTCCACGTGAAACTATAGTTCTTCTTGTTTCCTTTTAGTCACACAGTGCCCAAAAAGTGCTCTTAAGCAAAGTGGCTGAACCTGTTTTTCTCTGTGGCCAAGATGATCATGACATCTCCACCGCGTTTTGCAGAAATGCTCAGAGTGTGTAATGCTGCTCCCTGAACTGTGTCTGCCCTTTGTTCCAGGGCTCCGCAGGGGGTGCTTAAAGGTTCCACAGCTCATCACTGTCCTTTTCCATGCACTATAAAATTTTTTAAAACCATGGGATTAACTTGTTCATAACTCATACCCATATCTGTGCTATATCAAGTGTTTTGCTATGCAAAAATTCAAACATCACTACCTTACATGCCTTCTCATTAGTGAAAAGTAGCTGTTCTTATTAATAACCTCGTATTCTTTCAGAAACGTAGTAATGAATAATAGATAAATGCTCTTGGTTTCTGTACACTAGAACTGACTTTGGTAATCAGTTGCCTGCCCAGAAGCACACAGGAAATAGATTGTACATGACAGAGTCAAACCCAGACGTGGGGCATTTCTCGTTAGGTGATGTGTAGTCTGAACCTGGCCTTTACCCAGTGGCAGGAAGGATTCTGCAGGTGCCCATGCATGAGCTGCTGGCGTAGCTGGCCCCTTGGTCCTGGCCCAACACTTTTTTTTGAAAGACGATTGTGACAGAAATAGTTTAGAATTTGCACAGACTTTAAATGGAAACTGCAATTTAGTTAAGCATGGGTTTCTTATCACCACTTGCGGAGAAGTATAAAAATAAGAAAACATGAAGGTTGGGGTGTATTTATCTGACTCTAGTCCGATCGAGATCAACATAAAGCTAGTCTTCCCCAGGGTCCTGTCCTCTGTTTCTAGCTCAGAACTTTGGCAGGTGAGGATAAGGGCAGAAACAGACCAGGTGACGAAGAAAGTGAGAGAATGAGAAGGGGACAGCGGGAGAGGCCATTCAGATGAGGGAGCAACACTTCATGGAACTGACAGGGGCCCTGAGAACGTGGATGAGACTCTTTGGTTTACTTTTGGGAGGGTAACGCTGTTGTCTTCTTCTCCGAGAGTGAAGGTACATATAATGTGGTATCATATTATCTTTTGGGGGGGAAAAATACGGCAGAGCACAAGCAATTCAGAAGTCGTTCTCTGCTTACTTCAAAATTAGTGCAGAGTTGCCGTTGCAGCTGAAATCACTTTCAATATGAGATAAACCTCTTGACTTCATAATTTTGCAAGACTAAGTTCAAATCAAGCGCATCATGAGTTTTGAGTGTTTTTTAGAGTAGTAAGAGTATTTTTAGAGTATTAAGTGCCTTTTCTGGTTTTAGTTCTCAGATCACACGGACCTGCAATTCTTGACCATTACTTCTTTAAATCTACTGCTGTATTTACTTATGCGAATCACTCTATTCATTCCATAATCTTCCTTCATTCAGATTATGTTTCATCTTTTTCATTAGTTCTTGAAGAATGCCTCTCTCCTTCCCTGCTTTAATTTATAGGCACATGTGTGACTAGGAAAATTGGCATCTTCCTCAATCAGAGTGACCAGCAGCCCTCCCACAGAAAGCCCACCAGTGACTCGCCTTTGCTTGTGGGTTAAAATCCACATTCTTTATTTAGACATATAAGTTCCTGTCCTGGGGCTGCAGGAACAAAGTGCTACAAACTGAGTGTTCTGAACAACAGAAACTTCCTGTCTCACAGATTTGGAGACTAGATTTACAAAGCACAGTTATTCCCTGGGTACCTGGCCTCTCTCTTGTAGCCTCTGTCATTCCTAGGCATGTGAATGGTGCACTCCCTGTGATTAGTTTTTGGATTTCTGTGTCCAAGTTCCCCTTTTCACAGGGACACCACTCAAGTTGAATTGGGCCCATGTTAATGACCTCCTCATAACTTGATCATCTGCAAAGACTTTTCCCAGATGCGTTCATAGTCTCAGATACTAGGAGGTACAACTTCAGCATCCCATGGAGAATACAGTGTAATCTGTAACAGCATATAAATTCCTTGGTGACCCTGGATTCCACTCTTGAACCACATCTTCTGCCACCACTGCCCACTGCCTTCATACCACACACACACACACACACACACACACACACACACACACACAAACACATGCACACTCAATA